CAATCAAATCTCCTTTTCTCGTTGTTTCCGCAGAGAAATCGAATTCTCTGTAGAAGACGACGATGATGGAGCCTCAATTATGGGATTGGATCTCGCCTCTCGTGATCTCCACCGCTCTCGTGATCTCCCTCGTCTTCGCTTTCTATGGATTTTTCCCCAAGCCGAAGCGGAACAGTGTCAGACTAAACCCTACAACTTCCAGGTTCGATCACGATCGGACCGTTTCTACCGTCACCTCAAACGTCGGATCCCTGAATGCTAGCGGCGGAGATACTGTCGCCGACGTTATCGTTGTTGGAGCCGGTGTCGCTGGTTCTGCTCTGGCTTATACTCTTGGAAAGGTCATTCTTCTTTTTTAATGTTTCCTCATTCTGTTTGATTTGAGAGCGTAAATATCCGAATTAGGTGGCCTTGGTTTCGCGATTTTGATTCAGCGTAAGAAATTATTTTTGTCATTAGCGAATGTCGATTGTGTTGAAGCAATTCTGGTTTTGTGGATTGAGTGAAAGGCGCTGCAATATGCATAGTTCAATTCAAATCCAGGATTTTAAGATTACGTACTCTCGGGATATTCATTTTTTGTTTTCTTCTGAAAATACTAATTTGTTTCACGAGTTTAGCAATGGTCAACCAACACTGTTTGAGATTTAACTTGGGGAAATGTTAAAATTTATTGTACTTCTTTGACTTTAAGGGCCCAACAGAAAGTTATCAAAATGTGGGATTTAGACGCCAACCACTTTTAAATGATGTTATGGTTGCTCCTTTGCACATTTAATGTAAGTGTATGTGCAGTGACTTTTATAAGGCCACTAGTTAGCTGGTATGTGTCTAGACACTTTTGCTACTCATTGAAGAATGAAATTAACTGCTTCACGGTGTCACCGTTCTCTTTGAACTAAGAAGCGCTAAATTGCACGTTGTTTTCTGATTTTTATGTTGTAGGATAATCGCCGAGTTCACGTGATTGAAAGAGATTTATCAGAGCCTGATCGCATTGTTGGGGAGTTGTTACAACCTGGTGGCTACCTCAAGTTACTGGAGTTGGGAATTGAAGGTAAGGAATGATTTGGAAATTATTCTTTTACTTCTCTATAGTTGTTTTCTAGCGAGTAACATCAAGGCTGCTATCTACAGATTGCGTGGAAGAAATAGATGCTCAGCGGGTGTATGGTTATGCACTTTTTAAAGATGGGAAACGCATTCGCTTAGCTTACCCCTTGGAGAAGTTTCACACAGATGTATCTGGAAGAAGCTTTCACAATGGACGCTTTATACAGAGAATGCGGGAGAAAGCTGCTACACTACCCAAGTATGTTTTTCCCCTTTATAAATGCCTCTAGGTGTTATGGCCCTTTTTACCCTTTTGTTTGCTCTACCTAGACCTACTAGAAACTCCATGACGCAATTAATTTAGATAGTAAGCCTATATGGGAGCCACTTTTGTGTACTGCTTATGGCTGTTTTTACTGATATCCTCAACAGTGTTCGGCTAGAGCAAGGAACAGTTGTTTCTCTTCTAGAAGAGAATGGTACTATCAAAGGTGTGCGATATAAGAATAAAGCAGGGGAAGAACTAACAGCATTTGCAGCTTTAACAATAGTTTGTGACGGCTGTTTTTCAAACCTGCGTCGCTCTCTGTGCAATCCTCAGGTAACATGCTGTTTAGTGTTGTTCTCAAAAATTACTCTCAGCTGATTTTGCAAGAACAAAAAAAGTGCATTAGCGTCACAAGTAAGTAGTATATCTCTGTACTATCTTCACGCAGGTCGAGGTACCTTCTTGTTTTGTCGGGTTAGTTCTCGAGAACTGCCATCTCCCATATGCAAACCATGGACATGTCGTCTTAGCAGATCCATCACCAATTTTGATGTATCCAATTAGTAGCACAGAGGTCCGGTGTCTGGTCGATGTTCCCGGTCAGAAAGTGCCTTCTATTGCAAATGGTGAAATGGAAAACTATTTGAAGACTGTTGTGGCTCCTCAGGTACGGATGCTTTCTCACATTGTGCACTTCTCTTCACCGCACTTTTTTTCTTTCTGGTTGGGTTAATTTCTGTCTATCTGTTCTGTTCCAGATGCCTCCTGAGGTCTTTGACTCTTTCATTGCTGCGATTGATAAAGGAAATATCAAGTCCATGCCAAACAGAAGCATGCCGGCTTCTCCTTATCCCACTCCGGGCGCTTTGTTAATGGGAGATGCCTTTAACATGCGACATCCTTTAACGGGTGGAGGAATGACAGTTGCATTATCTGACATTGTTGTTCTGCGAAATCTTCTTAGACCGCTGCGAGACCTTAGCGATGGTTCCAGTCTCTGCAAATATCTTGAATCATTTTACACTCTGCGGAAGGTAAACATCAATTGTAGAGACTAATTGTTGGTGCATAAAAATTCAGATAGATACATTTTTTGTTGTTGTGTGTAAACCAGTGTTTGAAAATCATCTCATTTTGCAGCCAGTGGCAGCAACAATCAACACCCTTGCGAATGCTCTTTACAAAGTGTTCTGTTCATCAAAGGATGAAGCAAGGAACGAGATGAGACAAGCATGCTTTGATTATCTAAGTCTTGGGGGCATGTGCACAAGCGGACCTGTATCTTTGCTTTCGGGTTTGAACCCTCGACCGTTAACTCTGGTGTGCCATTTCTTTGCGGTTGCGGTTTATGGAGTCATACGGTTGTTACTCCCATTCCCTTCCCCAAAACGCATGTGGCTTGGAGCCAGATTGATCTCGGTATGAATCACATTTTAAAATTTCATCGGTCCTTTGTTTAGTGTATCTGTACCGGATCTTAACGCATAGAGCGGAAATCGCAGGGAGCATCTGGGATAATATTTCCGATAATAAAGGCTGAAGGAGTTAGGCAGATGTTTTTCCCAGCAACTGTACCTGCATACTACAGAGCTCCTCCTGTTAAAGGCGAAACCAAATGTTCATAGTTTCAGTTGATTCTGGCACAAGAAATGGCATCCGAAAATGAAAAAAGAAAAAAAACTAAACAGATGAATGTTGTGGAATGCGATGACTTTTACTGTTTGTGTTCTTTAAACGTATACAAGTGACAAAACTGCGATGATTTTTACTGTTTTATAGGTTGTGGTGGTTGTATCTTAGTTACTAATGGTACCATTTGTTTTATAGTAATTGCACTAACTGACAACGGATAATTGTATATCTACTATACACTCTTCTAAAGAGATAAGTCGATTTTGACTCTTATGTATAAACAAACGTGTANNCAANAGAAANNAATAGTATTTGGTGGATGANGAATTGTATATTAATTGCTATGGAATTTGGTTTGTACCGTAAAACTTCCATAAATTAATGAAAAATTTCAAAAAATGCCACTTTACAAAAATGCCACACTTCTGAAATCTTTACAAAAATGTCATATTTTCAAAATTATTGTTTCTTTATATTATTTATATTTGGGTTAACTATGTTCTATTAGGGTTTAGGTATGAGGGTTTAGGAGGAGTTTAGAGGTCAAAACATTTTTAAGTATTTAGAATTTTAAGATATAGGATTTAAAAATCTATAATTAGTGGCATTTTT